AGGAGACAAAGTAAAGTACAGGTATAAATATGAAGAAGATCTGCAGAAGGGACATGGAAGAGACTTAAGGGCCTCGGACATAAGATTACCAGGTTAATGAACTAAATGGATGAGACAGAAAGGACTGACAAAACCCGGGACCAGGAGGAAGAGACGTTGGAGGAAGATTGGAAGAAAGTTTTTTTAAAAAAAATTCTATTTAGGATTGTTTTGTAAAATTAATGAGTGTTAGAAAAATGTTGGAACAAAACTATTTGGCTTTAGCAGAAATGTTAAAAAGAACTATGCAAGAATATGTTATGGTTATGAGAAATTGGTATAAATAAGATTTAAGTTTTAAGTTTTAGGGTCTTTTAAAGTAAGATAAGGTTAAAATAGATTAAGGTAATTTAATGACAGAATATTATGAAATATGGGAAGGATTTGCTGTTATAATTAATAACTGGAATACAAAAAAGGGAGGTTTGAGGAGGTCAATGAAATAAGGCAATGACAGTTAAGGATTTGGGAATATTGGATCTGTTTTTAATTGTTTGTGGTTTACTTTTGTTTTTTGGATTTTGATGTGTTTTGTCTTTGTTTTTTTATTTTTATTGATTTGTATGGTTTGACTGTTGTTTGCTTTTCCTTTGTTTTTTCTTCTTCTTTGTTTCTTTGTTTTTTTTGTAACTTTAAAATGCTTAATAAATATCATTAAAAAAAAAAAAGCACACTGCTTCTGACAGCGGAGACAGAACCCAGCCTGCATGAACTGGCTTGTTGACAGACTGTGGGTTGATCCACAGATGCTGATCCATTTGTGCGATGACTTCCACTTGTGCAATGGAACTGCCCCTACCCCTCCTCCCCAAGTGCCCCCCCAAATCCATTCTGGGAATTCTTCCAAACCTCCAGAGAGGATTTGTGGTGGGAGCTCCACTGCACAAGCAGAAGTCCTTGCACAAACAACTTGGTTGGATACAACCCTGTATGCTGGTGGAAGCAGCTCAAGCACTCCCTGCTTCACTCCTTCCTGGAGCAGATTTTATACTCAGTGTTATGTCCAAATACAGTGGTACCTCGGGTTGCAGACGCTTCTGGTTACAGACGCTTCAGGTTACAGACTCCACTAACCCAGAAATAGTACCCTGGGTTAAGAACTTTGCTTCAGGATGAGAACAGAAATTGCACGATGATGGCACGGTGGCAGCAGGAGGCCCCATTAGCTAAAGTGGTGCTTCAGGTTAAGAACAGTTTCAGGTTAAGAGCGGACCTCCGGAACAAATTAAGTTCTTAACCCGAGGTACCACTGTACATACATGTCTGTGATTTGGGGGTCTGCTCTAAACCTGGTTGCATATATGTATCTAATTCTCATTGCATTAATTATTCAGACAACACTTTTGTGATTCCAGTTGCTGTTTTTTCCAGACCCAGAACTGGCTTCTGGGGGTCCTCTTATGGTTTTAGCTCAAAAAGCAAAAGTGCTTTTCTAGGAAAAGGGGTTTAGGCACTTTGCTCTCTCCCCAATTGTTTTTCCATCACTGCTGTTATATTTCCACCACTGCTCATAGAAATGGATTTGACGCCCACTGATCACCTATAATAAATGTGTATGTCTGCCTGTCACAGTCAATGCCAGCAGGCCTTCTTCACATGAGTGTGTTTGTCTGGCTCGCTTGCATTATTGTGCATCCTTAATACTAGGAAAAGGCTTGCCCAATATTGTTGTGTTGCTCTAGTAAACCCTTTGTAATGAATAACAGTTGTGCACTCTCTCTCCCTCTCTTAAACAGATACACATACACCCCAAACAAAAACTGTGCCGGAACGGCATGTCAAAAAACCAGCAATAAAAAATTCATAACCACCCCTCTAGGCTAGAAGAGCTGCTGCTTATTGTATTTACTGAGAGGCTGCTTGGGAGCCTAGAGGCTGGAATTCACACCAATCTACTCATAAAATAAACTAGATCAGCACCGTACAGATTAGGGCAAAAAGGCACATAGCAAGGCTGGCTCTGCTTACACACATCGCAGCATAAAGACAACCACCACCACCCCAGCTGTGTTTGTGTATGTGTGCACCCTTTAAATGAAATTTCTTAAGCAGCAATAAACATTTCACACTTTCTTGCTGTGCTGTTTTCTTTCTCCCCACCTGTTCTCCTCTGCCAAGTTTTGCTGGCTCAATCTGTTCTTCTGAGGAATCAACAATTTGAGCTAAACCCCTCAGGGTAGCAATATTCCAGCCCAAACAGTAGTATCTCAGAATGCCTTATGACACTGATTCTTCATAAATTCACAGTTTTCTTTATTTAGCAGCAGTTGTACTGGAAAATGGTAATGTGCAACTGATTGGCAAGCTGTTTAATCCATTTTCTTTTTTTAAAAAAAAGATACTTAAAAAATAATAGAAAAAGGAAGAGGACTCAACACCCATTGCTCCAGTTTAGCAAATTGTATTATTCTGCAAGAAGAAAAATGATCACTGGCCCACCATCTACTCACGAGTAAAAATAAATACAGATAACTGTTTTTGGATTTGTTCCAGCTAAATTAGGTGATGATAGATGATAGATAGATGATAGATGATAGATGATATAGATAGAATTATGAAACCAATAGTATGCTATGGACTTCAAACCGGTTTTGGACAATATATTGATATATTGCCTAGCCCTGACAGACAGACAGACAGACAGACAGACATTTACCTAATGACCCAGTTGCTATCTGTGCACTGTTTGGAGAGAGAAGAACACTGTGGTACTTGGAAAAATGGAATGTATTAGACAACCTTTTTTTCAAAGAGACAACAGGCCTTGTTCAATGTTTCTGATGGTGCCAATCTAGTGTGCAGCACAGAACATCAAAAACCCCTTCCGTATCTTGAAAGTGGTTTTGGCTCCAGTATAGTGAGCTGGGGGAGCAGACACAATACAGAACCTGAGAGGCAGGAATGTAGGTCTGACTCTGTACCATTGTCAACCCACAGATCCTCATGTACCTGTCCAAATATACCCCACCAAAGTGTCTTCTCCTGTCTGGATATGCCATAAATTCATTTTACTTATCTATGTTACTACTGGGTCATTCCACGCCAAATAACCTGATTTTAATACTCGACCGTGCTCTCACAACAAGATTTTCTTTGGAAAAAAATATATATGTATATAGATACCGATGATAAAATAATATTTTAAGATTTTTTGGTCCAAAATTGGGCACAGGAGAATTTTTTCAACTAATTGGGCTTATTTTGGTATTACTGATCCTACCGGGAATAAAATGACAAAAATTCACTTTGAATGGTCGGTGACCCTTTTCTGTGGCACTTAATACCATTTTTATACCTTATTTGGAAAGAGACCAAAATTAGCTTTATTTTGATACCAAAATAAGCCCAATCAGTTGAAAAACAAGCAAAACAGGAGGTTTTTTCTACACTGACACAGAAATTGCATTAGCCTAAATCGTGTGAAAATTGAAATTTTCAAAAATTTCTCCTGCACCCAATTTTGGATCAAAAAAACTTAAAATATTATTTTGAGGTTATTTCATAGGTATCTACACGTAATTTTTTTTGTGAAGAAAATCTGAGTCGTGAGAGCACATGGCACCAGGTGATTTGGCATGGAATGACCCTGCTATAACAATCCTGCGCAATCGTATACTCCAACACAGTGGGGCAGAAACATACCACAACTTCACTGATGCAATGTCTGCCATATCCTATAGCTCCTCAACCAGCATATCGTAATGTACTAGAATGCATCCTAAGCAATCTATGCAAGTGGGACACAAGAAATTCTTAGATCACAAGTGTACTTGCACAGAAAAATATTTATGGAGAAAATACAAACCATGCCATTTTTCTTTCAGCCTCTTGACCAAAAAATTATGTGGAAATTATTTTTTAAAGACTACTAAAGCAGGGAGAAAATATTTTAACCTACACTTCTCTATGACACACTAGCTTTTATGTGTAAGATACGTTTTTAAATATGAGAACATTCTGAAATTATTTAGTCTGAAGTGGTTTAGTCTGAAGTGGAGGGCTGTACTATTATTAATGTTGTGTATGCAAACTGGCTCTTATTCCTCTGTTAGTGACAGTTTCTGAAGCCCAATTTCTGCAAGAGCAGCATCAAATACTTCTTAAACAAACATCCTCCCTGGGGTCTCTAGGGAAAGGTCCTTTCACCTTAACAAATACCAGGTTTGAGTAAGAATTTTGAGTGAAGTTTCAGGGCAGGTTGAATTAGTTTATATTTTCTCTGTACTCGTTCACCCATTCCTAGCCATGATAGGAATGAAATAAACTCAACACACTATTTTATCTTACAAGTCATTGGAGCTATAAATTGCCTTTAAATCCAAGGTCTAGCCTATGCTTCACACCATATTCGGTCTTCTTGTGGTGTTACAAACGATGAATGGAAAAGCTCTACACCAGCTCAGTTTTTAATTTAGAAGCATTGATATCTTAAATAAAGCTGTGATCCACAGCTCATTCCATGTCGAGTAGTTGTTTTCACATTGACTTCACAGATGCTCTGAGTTTTCCAACTGTTCCCCCACCCTCACATGCACAAATGCAGGATGCAGGATACAGAATGAATGTCTGCCAACTCCATTAAGCGCATGAATTCCAGTTTAGAATAGGTCCAAACGAGATGCTAGACACCTGTAAGATCTCTCGACATTTATTGCTTGATAGAAAGCAAACATGGGAGGCTGAAATCCAATGAGGAAGGCTGCATAAATCCCTTTCCCCACATCAGTTTTCCATTCAAAATTGCCCTCAGCCCACTCAAGCTGTTTTTCCACTCACATGGGAGGGAAAGCTATGAGTATCTGCATATTTCCCCTTACAGGTAAAGGAACAGCCTTCTCAAATATGTTTCATGGAGGATAGGAAGTATTCCATGAACCACAGCTGAGTCATGGAACAAATGTTTTGCATGCAGAAGGTCCCAAACTCATTTTGCAGGATCTCTTCCTTTTTTCTTTTTTTTTGCAGAATAATTTTTATTAATTTTTAGTGAACGTACATATATTCATATATTACACTTATAGGTTACATATTTAAGCTAGGCTCTACCGAGCCTCAGACTTCCCTCCATTCCTTTGGTAAGTATCAAATAAATCTGAAATCTCGTATTTTACATATCATATTATCTACCACACGCTGAAAGAGTTATTCCAACCCTACCAGTGTTTTCAGAGATTTACAATTGTTTCTTATATACATCAAATATTTACTCCAATTTTCTTGAAACTTCTGTTCGTCCTGATCTCTTAATTTCCCTGTTAATTTAGCCAGTTCTGCATAATTCATCATTTTGACCTGCCAGTCCATTATATTAGGTATTACATCCGTTTTCCAATTCTGGGCTAGCATATTTCTGGCTGCTGTTGTGGCATATAGAAATAAATTCTTATCTTTTTTTTTTTCAATTTCCTTTCCCACTAATCCCAGTAGGAAAGCTTCAGGTCTTTTTGGGAAGGTATATTTTTTAAAAAATTTAAGTTCGTTATAAATTAATTCCCCAAAGCCCTTCACTTTACTACAGTTCCACCACATATGGCAGGATCTCTTCCTAAAGGACCAGGAAAGACTCCCACCCTATGAACCTGGAGAGCCACTCATAGTTGTAGTGGACAGTATTAAGTTAGATGGAACAATAGTCTAAGCCACTATACAACAGCCTCATGAATTCATGGGCATCTCATTCAGGATACTTCAATTAGGGAGTTGGACAGTTACAAAATCATCCCCAATCCCAGGCTGCCATACCAGTTTTTCTTGGTAATGGCAGAGGAAAAGCTGGGGCCAGGTGGCCAGTGGTATATAGCATTTGTTTCCAGAAGTAGGTTGCCACCAAAATCACCATATAGTGGCAATACAATATGTGCTTTTTTACATGGGTAAAGCCATTTTGGGCTTCCTGCCCACTCTAAACCAGCTCAGTATTTAGTTTTGGAGCATGGCTACCTCAATTACAGCTACAGGCCATGGCCTACATCAACATGTTGGCCATGTTTTCAAGCAAACTTACCAGAAGTCCCAATTTCCATCTGCGTTTTCTCATAAGGAAGATCCCAAACGACAGGATGTGGAATGTAGAACTGATTGATCATTATCCTATTCAGTCAATACACTCATCAATATACTCATTATTCTTGATTGATCATGAATGTGCTGGTGGCTACAGTCTTGCCTCCCACCACCCCAACCATCTTCCATTCAATGGACAGCGAGCGTCCACAGGGCTCTCTACATACTCAGGTGTCTAAATCTGGTGGGAATCCTTCACAACTACAGCTGCAGTTGGCCACCTTCCAAAGATCAGAGGGCAGCCAAACTGGGCATGGGGGCAAGATAGAGAGGGTGGGGCTAGCTTCCATTCACCTGCTCTCCCGCAAGCTATTACAGTCACATGGAGGAACTGAACACCCATGTAGGACTCATGTCTCAGAGCATGAATTCAAAATTAGGGTAACATGACTATTCACACTATAAATTCACAAACATTAATGATGATACTTTTATACCCAAGCCATCGGTTTCTTTTTTAAATCAAACCTTGGAAAGTTCAAACTAAATTTCAAATCTTGTGAAAGTTTTGCTACAGTCCCAGTCTAATTTAGCTAGGCAAATATATAGTTTGACACCAAGCCTTTGCTTATTTGATAGAATGCTGAGCATTTTTACCAATCCTAGGTAGAAAATGAGTTCATATCATTTGAAGCCAAATGTCACTCGACATTCAGTTTAAAACATTTCTTCAGGCATCATTCTCTGTTCTTTTGCTAGGAAGAAATAAGTGCTGCCGCAAACAGGATAAAGAGAAATGAACTAGGATTCTTCTCCTGACTCCTCTTCCACATTTTAAGTTGAAAGTAGGTATGCACGTACACACATGCACACACCTGAATCACAGTGGCACCACACATGCTGACAATGCTCTCAAGTTGGCACATGATTGGCCAAATCTAAAGCAGTGCACCTTTACTGTGCAGAGTGTTTTCAAAACAGGGATGGGCTCACTAATGGGCTAGGTCTGCTGTCCCTCATTGGAAACCCTGCATGTAATTAAGGTGACCCTTCTCTTCAGGCTCAGCCAACCACACATCTGCTAGCATGTGAGGTGTCACTGAGGCTCTGCCTTCCTACAGAACCCCTTCACACAGTCGATGGCAAATGCCTGAACAAGGCTTCAGGCTGGAAGTGAGAAGAAACACAATAATTAATGGATCGATTCTTTCCTGCAATCATCCATTATTTAAACTGAGGAAATGTATGATAATCAATACAATTGTTCTATAATTGATAAATGCTCATAGATATGAATACAGTACATTCATAAAATATTCAATTTTTTAACATGTCCAGTTGCACTGAAAACTTGCAGATCAATAAAACCTTAGGTGTTTTGGACTGGGTTCTCTTTTCTGCTACAATGGAATGTATCATGCCACAGTGAATCACTCCAAACATTTGTGTCTAATATCTCAGCCTACACCTTTCACTGTGTATTTAAAAAGCATGTATTTATTCTAATATAAATCTTATCTTGGGTTCAAGTTACTGACTGCTGTTTTGAAAGTGTAGGAGGAGGAGGAAGAGAGAAAACCCATCTGCAAAACCATTTGGCTGCCAGCTTTAGCTAGGTAGACGTGCGGCAGGCGTGTTATCTGCTAGATTAAATATTTAAATATGGCACAAACTAATCCTATGAGTAAGTCCCACTGTGTTCACTGGTGTGTTGCTCCCAGGTAAGTGTACATAGGACTGAAAGAAAGAAAAAGAGTGACACTTGATAAATATGTAATGAGAGTGACTTCAAAAGTAGAAAGCTTGACATCATAAAGATTTGATCAAGACCGTAGCCCTATGATCCCCCATGTGATCATATCAGCGTGGAGGAGAGTATGGAGACTCACTTATAGGCCCCATAGCTTCTGTTGTATTCCTGTAAATCAGCCCCATTGGTCCCTCCCATGTAATGCAGGAGAGAGGTCTGAAGTGGAGAGTCTTCATCAGAACCTCCTGCCTGACACCTAGTCCAAATGCAATTCAAAGTATTGTGGCACGTTAAAGACATAAATTTATTATGGCATAATAAGTAGACTGTAGTCCACGAAAGCACATGCCATAATCTATTTGTTAATCTTCAACTGACACAAGACTCTTTATTGCCATTACAACAACAGCAACATGTCTGGAAACCTTAAAGCAAAGCTACACCACTGTCGTGAGGGTTCATGGCCTGTTTCTTTAAAAAGCCAATTTCTCTGCTTGGCTCCATTCCGAAAATAAAAGGTAGTCTGCAGTATCCGTGTATGTAGAATCAGAATAGAGCAGAACTTTGTTTCTTATCTGCCCTTCTGATTTTTTCTTTTCTTTTAAACAAATTAAGTGCCTAAAGCTTTGGCAGGCATTTTTGTTTAATCTCCAGCTACAGAAAAACATTGTGTTATGTTAATGTGAGGTCCTGGGCGATGATGAGGTAGACAAAGAAAGGGAGCAGAAATCATAGGGCTAGATGAATGTAGGATGCCAGGCCTGGAACAAAATGTTCTATATGTCACAGCAGCAGGAAATAATATTTTTTTCTTCTTCCACATTTAACAATTTGTGAATACCGTTTTGTTTTCAAGAATCCCGAGCTTTCGGTTTTCAACTTTTAATGTAACCACATCAGTGTGAGCATTTTGTTTTAACTTACTCATTTCATTAACAATTGCCCTTGAAGTTTGAAATGAAAAAAGCTATAGCATAATATAGCTTCCCAAAGGCTTCTTCTGGGCATAAAAATGATTGGTCAATATCAAAATAATCAAGAGACCAAAAAATTGAAATAAACAATGCCCTATTATTTTTTTAAAAATCACTCTGCAGGGTTTGGGAGAAGTGGTTCAAGGATGGGGGTAAACTACCAGACAATATTACCTGCCTGTGTAATATTTAGCTGCCTGTGTAAGAGAGAAGATGTTTATGCAGGATCAGAGCCAATCTCCAAACTGCATTGATTGAGGGTGGTCAGAAAATCTTTCCTTTTAAGGATGCATTTTGTAATTGTACAAAGTTACTACCTTTTATATTCCCTATAAGACTGCTAACCTGCAGTCTTCTAAACAAACTCTTCCTTCCTCTTCCAATTTTTAATTCTCTGATACCCTTCTAATAGTTTACAGGATAGCCCGGGGCTACTGCCAGGCTACTGCCATGCCACCCATGGCATGGTGCTGCTGATGCCCCCCACAGTGGCAATTGGGTTATGGTGCCCCCCTTGCCACCTGCTGCCTCATGGACAGCCTGTCACCCCTTCAGCCCAGAGAGGACTAACTGACAGTAGTGCTGTAATAGGGTAGGAACAGAGTGGCTGCTCTGCTCTGATTGGTGTCAGCTGGACACCACGTTTGATCTCCTTCAGTCTATATTGGTATGTTGGAAACGACCTTGTGTTGAAAAGCTGTCTATAAGTAAATCTAATGGAATTCCAGGCATCAGCCTCAGTAGGCTCTGTGGGGGCGCTTCCCTATAACAATAGATTTATCACTTAAGCATACTGTGCTCATGTATTCTTTCATCCTCTTCTCTGACATTACACTACTGTTCAGCAGCAAATGGGGAAGCTCAACAAAATGCTTAATTTATATCCACCAGCTATTCCCTTTTTGATTATTCATCCCCAGCACAATGAAATGCAGCTGATGCACGGCTGTGCTGGTGCTCTCAAATCCAGTTGCTGAGAGAGATAGAAAGAACAATGTGGAATTCGTCTCCAGAAGTCTTGTTCATTGGGATTCAGCTGCCAGTCACATTAATCCCAACACAAATGTTGAAATGTGATGGGAAAAGTAGCTTGATTAAAAGAGTAACAACGAAGGGCTGTAGCTTTGCTTAGAAAAAGTCCCAGGTTCTCTGGGCATCTCCAGAACATGTGGGCAATTATTCCCATCTGAAAAGCCCTGAATAGCTTCTGTCAGTCAGCAAAGACAAGGAGTCATCACCGTGATGCCCTCTAGATGTTGCTGGACTATAGCTCCCATCATCCATGCTTGCCAAGGCTGATGCGAGCACACAACATCTTGAGGGCATCACCTTGACTAACACGCCCCCCCCCCGTGTAAACAGCATTGAGCTAGATGGATTATTGATCTTCCTTGGCATAAGGCAGTTTGCTAGGGATGCTATTTACATATTCATAGAGGCTCACAATTTAAATGACGTTATTTCCTCCCCCACCTGTATATACAAATCTATTGGAGGGGTGGGGGGTTGACTGTTGTCACTCCCATTGGTTAAATGCTCAAAGTTGGTACATATTAAATCAATGGCAAAGCTCTGGTTTTCCTCAAAAGAAAAAGTACTGCACAGCTGCAAGCTCCTTTCTAAAGAGTTTGGCATCCACCACTTCAATCAAGAAAATGCTGCCCATGGGTGTCTTAGACATAACAAGGGCAGTGCTTCAGAAAGACAGGGATGATAATGGATTATTTTAAGACAAGTACTGGTGTGTGCATTTGTTTGGGGAAGGAGGAAAAACAAATGCTATAGGCAGTCCACACCGGTTTTTTGAAAATGTGTCATATGGCATGGGGAGAGGTAGGCAGACGAACACAGTTGGTTTATTCAAAGGGCAATGAATTAAAAGCAGACTGTCTGCTTAAGGTCTGTGGCCTAGAGAGACAGGCAGAGCACAGAAAATAAAGATGGGGCAAACAAGACCCTGACCCTATTTGAATGTGTGTGAGCATGTGATTCCCCAAACAGAGCTGCCATTTCCCAATGGTGATTCACATGATCACAGTAGCACATTTGAAAGACACCAGATCCAGTTCAGTAAGTGGTGGCAGCTGGCATTACTGGGGGAAATGCAAAATAAATGTCAGTGCGCCCTCCAGGAAATGTCAATGTGCCAGATGTTGCTGAACTCTAGCTCCAATCAGTGTGGCCAATGGTCAAATAAGGTGAGAACTGCGGTCCAGGATCTGGAGGGCAACAGGTTACCCACCTTTTCATTACTTCCTCCATGCAACTAGTCCTTACAGTGCTGAGATAGGGCCAACACACCTGGCAGTAATAAAGGAACTCTGTCTCCAGGAGTCCTAAAATTAGGAACTTTGCTGCCACTAAAAGTCTTTCTGTAACTGTGGCAATATACTAGGCTAGGGGAACTGGTAATGGGAACCAGTCAAGGACAAATGTACCAGTCTTTGCTGGTGTTAAGTACTCCATAATGAGACAACTATAACTCAGGCTGCTCCTCTCTTGAATTCCACCTCTGCCAAGCACTCAACAAGTAGCCTTAGGCAAGCCACAGATTTCTGATTCTCAGGTTCTTCATCTGCAATATGAGGATAATAATACTGTAGGCATCACTATGAAACACTGCATCTTGAATATGCTGTGGCATTATATATGCTTATTAATTATCACCAAAATAGATTATAGACATGGCTTTTTTTTACTACATCCCAGGTGGATTATATATTTAAATGCAAAAATCAATAAAAACTATGCTATTAAGACACTTATTATTAATAATATACAGAGGAAGGTGAATCAATCAGCCTCCACCAAAATTTCTCTTTCTCCTTCTGTGTTATAGTAACTACTGCAGGAGCAAATATAAAGAGTCATGGGGCTAATCAGTCCTAGCAGACCTTCTGCTGTACTTTTGCTGCAATAGCAATTTTCATTTTCAAATCCTATCTTTCTAAAGAGAACTCCGCCTATGCCTCAAAAGTAGCAATCTCTCCCTCTGAGCAACTGAGATGCTGTTTTTCAATTTCACTCTATTTGCCTTTAAACACTTTTGCTTCACATTCCTTTCATTTGAAGCTGAACAACAAAAGACAGAGAGGCATGAGGGTTTTTCCCCCCAGAAGATGCCTGCTTAATTCTTCTCCCACTTGCCTTCTTTCCATAAGGGGAAAGGGGGAAATATGCAGTAGAAGCTAAAGAGGTCAACATTATCTCAGGCGCTCTTGGGTGGCAGGGAGATAAGCTTTGATCTGAAAAGGAAAGGGGGCTCTTCCTTTACTAAAGCTGACTCAAGGGAGCAAATGAGCAGCAACAGAGCCCTATCACCAGCTTGTTCAGCTGCGATTCTGAAATGCAGAGAAATTTTAAACTAAATGGAAGCCAACTTATCCCCCAATCATGTAATTACTGCAGAGAAGGAATAAATGAGTCATGCACAGAAAAGGAAATTCTACTACCCAAAACATTAAAGACAACAGTACATTAACACTAACACAGCATGTTTGTGCATAGTGCATGTGCGCATGTTATACTTCTAAGCACTGGAAATCCCACTGTTTCTAAAATGGGAATTCCTCTCAGAGTCACCTCGTTACAAAAATCTGAGGCAAAATTCAGATGAACTAGAAACAGCATGGCTCTGCTTAAAATGTAAACATGGAAATTTGTATAATTAAGGGGATCGCCAAGTGCATCTGGTAGATTTCACCTGGAATTGCAAAATTGTCAAAATGAAAGAACTGCAAGAGTAAGGTGAAAATGACTAAATCTGCATGGCAAGGTGCAACACATCAGCTCCTTGCTGTAATGTGGAAATCTTCAGGTGGCTGCATGTTAAGAAGCCGTAACTCCTGCAAGTTTGTGTGAATTGGGCTCTTTGCCTTATTTCTACTGTTCATGTGCCAATTTTTGGTCTTCACCCAAATCTTGTCTATTAAGTATAGTGGTTTGAAAGATAGCACTTACCTAGTCAAATGACATATTGAAAGATTAAAACACTAGACAGGTGAACTTACCTTTGACCTCCAACTACCTCTGGCCTTTTAGGAATTTTTTTACTATATTTATTGAATTCCCTTCCTCCTTGCTTTCAATGTATTTATGCGGGTGTTTTCTTTTTCCCCCTTTGGTTGTAAGTTGCTTTGAGCAAGATAAAGCAACTAACAAATTTAATAAATAAATAAAATAAAATAAGGTGAGAAATCTTAATTGTTTCATTAAGAAATCTCATGTAGAAGCTTGCATGAAACTTTTGTTTTTCTGAGATCTCATAGTTAGTTAGCTTCCATTTTTGTACATGGAAAGCCATGAGTGAGAAAGAATTTTTAAAAGGAAAGGACTAAGAGGATACTTACCAACATCTGATTAGTCTTTCTACTAGTCATCTCCCTGCTTTTGAAATAAGCATTTTGTCACTGCATTAGAGGTGGCAGCACTATCAGTCTCAGTTGTGCTCCGAGAAAAATCATCTGTGACACAACAGCAATATTGCTGCAGCTAGACATTCTGTTTAAAATTAGTTAAATATTTAAGTTACCTTAAATGTTCATCTAGATTTAATATACAGCTGTTGCAGGAAAGCCAGACCACCTCACGTGAGATGCCTTCCTTCCTCAGGGTGAGGCGGAGGAATGGATTATGTGCTCTGGAGCAGCAACAGCCAGATAGGTGCATGGTGTATTCAATCTTGGTTTGAAATTAAAGTTCATTAAATGGAGAACCGAGGTTGGCCCATGTCCAGGCATTTCCAAACCTACTAGGTTGTGATGATAAAGATTGCCCTCTATTTAAACTCCAAAAGTGGGCAAATATGGTCCTGACAGATGGGGAAAGGCTCGTGCTGCTACCTCTGTTTTCTATCTACAGGATTAAAAAATAGTTCTCTAATACAAATAACATCAGAAGGACGAGGAAGAAAATGTCTGATGCAATTTGATTATTCCTAATGGTCCATTCAGCAAAGCATCCCATCTCCAAAAGCACCAGATTAAGTTTCTTCAGCAAGATTGTAACAGAATCCTCCATTTCCAGCCAACTAAACTTAAATTACTGATAATAATTCCTAATCCAGTCTTCTCTGATCTGCGTTGCTGTCATAGGGACTGAAAAAGACACATTAAATATGGTCTTTACTTCTAACAACCTCTATCAACAAATACTCTGATTTTGGTGGTAAAGAAAGATTTCAAGTAACCCTTGAAGCAAGCAGGATGCCTTCCAACCGGCAAGTGGAGTCCTGTGCGGAGCACAGCCTATGACCCCACGAAACTAGAGGTCATCAGGGAACTCCCTCCCTGTCTTATCAATAACTATTTTTAATTTCATGATAATTCCTCCTATGATTCACCCAAGGAACCAACCTCAAAATGTTACTGCATATCTTATTTTAGGATAAATATTTGATCATTACTCTAACAGGAATAATCAGTATCACCAGGACGTCCCATATAAAGTGGTCCAGGAGGTCCCATATAAAGTGTTATTAGAGGATATGTATAGCAGCAAATGAAAAGTCACAATGGGAGGAGCCATACCAACCAGCAGTGCAGACCAGCTCCTGCCCCAAACTAACAACCCCTGCTAGCCTTGATTATTGTTCAACCGCCAGGCGTGTCTTTAAGACTTTTTTATGCCAACACGTCTGTGCAGCTGATCTGACCATCTTGATCTGCTGTTATAAAGCAGGTTTTCTTGGTGTGAAGCTATGGGTATTGGCTTGTAAACGCAAGCAGCATTCACTAGAATGGGGGAAACTCCAATACAATATCTTCTAATGAAGACACGCCTAGAATGTCTACAGTTCCCACTAGGGTGGGTAAGGAATCAAAATAAAAAGAAGGGTCAACTACAAGCATTCAGATTCACTGTTAAATTTCCTGTTGACTTTAGTGAGCGTTTGATAAAAGGGGAATTGTACTTTTAAAAATAAAATACTAATTATTTGTATTTAATTGTTGCTATAAAAAGAACATTTTCCCCCCATGACAAGTTCTGTTCTTGCTCCTTTCTGAAACGCTCACTGGCAATGCATCCACAGGGCTTTCTCATTTTGCATAAGTGGATAGGGGAATTTTGGCTGGGATCACAAGCAAATGAGTACCAGAACAAATCAGCAGGTCTGTGTAGAATGCCACAGAGAATTCAATTATTCTAGTTACCTCTTCATCAGGTCATTTGTCTTTGTTAGCAGGCTTGGAAAAGTCTGGGGCCTGCTGTATTTTTCAGGAACATGGGTGGCTGGCAGACAGTGCCCAACACTCTGCCCTCCTTAACAAAGCAATTGTGGACAGACAGATGTGGCTGAACAAGGTGAAATTGCAAGAGAAACTGCATTGTTGCCTTTCATTCAAAACAATGAAAAACAATCAACCTGCTTTTTGGGAGCTTATGCACGCATTAGATATTAATGGAATTTATTCCAGGGAAGAAGGTTTTAGGTCCTTCCCGGTCCCTGGCCAGGGAACGTATCTACATACTGAGATGAAGTTAAGTGGCAATTATGCCTTGGCAGAGACTTGCTTACCTCTAGACATTGTTTAGACATGAGGTTCACACCTGCATCACACCTTTTCACACCTTTTATAGAAGAATCGAAGAATACTGTAAAGCATAATTATGTGCACAAGCCCCACAAATAGATAGATGGTGGTTTATACATTGTGATGCATGTGAGTTGAATGGAAAATGTGAATAAGATTTGGCCCAATGTGTGCATTCACCAGACATTGTGTAAAATGATTTGCACCACTGGATGGAATTGATTTGCAAACCAATTCCATACAGTGGAATTTTTCTGGCAACCCTTGTTAGCTGCTCTAACTTAGTTGGCTCCAATGCTGACATAACATTAACCTATGGTAACAGCAAACTGTGGATGGAGGCAGAATTAGTGCATGAATGAACAGAGGGACCCTTGTACGTTTACACCATATTCCCAGTCTCCAAACCATGTTTTTCAGACTGATAATGTTGTATCTGAACCAGATTATGTGATGGAAGGCAAATGCATCATGAGAAGAGAAATCACAGTGGGCTACTCACCGAAGAGGTAAGCACACTTCCCTCACTTGCAATACAGTAAATTGGAACGGTGACTCAATGGTCATGCTAGCTTATCTGCAGGCTGTCTGTATTTTTAGTTTTTTAAAGCATGATGACATGTTTTTTGCTGATGTGTTCATCCACTTCTTTAGAAATGGAAATACAGTGGTACGTCGTGTTATGTACCATCCCCCTGAAGAATGATGCAGGTTACGCGCTCCGCTAACCCGGAAGTAGATGCCCCTTGTTGCAACCTTTGCCCCGGGATGCGAGCGGAAGTCACGCTCCGGCAGCGCGGCAGCAGCAGGAGGCGCCATTAGCGAAAGTGCGCCTCCCATTACGAGCGGCTTCCTGTTACAAATGGACCTCCAGAACAGATTAAGTACATATGTATGTTTAAAACTTTTCAGATGTTTGGAAGGGATTGTTTGCTGGTGACATCACAGGTGTCAGCTCTAAGTACACAAGCTATTGCTGCAAATTCGAAGAATTTTTTTCCCTAGACTTAATCCTGGAGATGAAGAGTGCATTGCACTCACTACTCTATAAATGTTGCATCTTTCTCCACAATGACACCATTTTCTTAATCTGGCAGAAAGGTATAGTGCAAAACCAGAAAGGATAGAGCCAAATTATTCCCAATGAAAGGCACTAAAGCCGACATTGAATTGTAATCTTGATTACAGAGGAAGTCATACAGAGAAATCAGTACCTTGGCTGAGCCTTGCCTTAACTGCAATCCTTCAGGTGATCCTGTAGTATGTATAAGCAAAATTCAGCAGTTCACAAGATTCTGAATTCTAGAGGAATTTCGATGTCTCCCCCTTTTCACAGGGTCCTATTTCAGTTGATTTTTTTTATTAGTATTATTTTACTATTTATTTAATTTCTTAGAAAAGCTAGATCATAAGCCAGCTGATGACTTTGTAAATGCAAACGGCCAATGTTGTGGAACCGACAATCTAATGACAGAGTGTTTAGTGTTCCCTAAAGCGAGAGACAGATGAAGAGAAACGGCGAACCGGCAACCTTAGCATAATTAAGACAAGCCTGAGTGCTTGCTGTACTGCCATTACATTAATCTCACATCAGTGGCACCTGGCTAAAATTTATGAGATATGTAAAAAGGCCCTTTCTGACTGACCTTGATAAGACAGTGTTATCTATCACGTGGGGGTGCTGAGGGGGGATGAGGCAAGAACATTGCATGAGATGGGGACAGATGAGAAATGATCTTGAAAGGTGCTGAGGGGCTACTGGACCAAGAGCTTGTTTACAAGATCAGGGATACACAAGGTTGTTCCACAGGTTGATTCAGAATAGTTATTTTAAAATAACACTCTTCATTTATGTAGGAAGTGAACCCATTCATTTCCTGGTCACCCTCTTCTGATCCCTACCTCTAGTCCTATTCATACCACTGTGGCCGCACTGATAAATCCTAATTATGCCTACTGCATTTCGGGTTCCAAGATTAAATGTAAAAAGCAGGACCCACATTATCCATGATCACAGCTTTGTGGTAAAGTACTAGAATGGCTTATAGAAGGCCCAAGGTTGAATGTGTGGTCTGAGTGCAAGGGTCAGGCACTGGGCAGGGAGGTTGGAAGAAGAGAAATGAAGTTCGTTAGAGTGTATGCCTCTCCCAACATGGTGTACTGGCTGGATGTTAATCCTGCATGGTGTCATAAGTCAGATCTGAACACGCACCTCTCAGTGGCCCCCAGTTTAAAAAAAAAAAAGATACCTGATAAGAACGAACTCATTTCCCTGTGTGAGACCCTTGGAAGCTAATACCTTCCAGTAACAGCCTAGACAGGGGTCAGCAAACTTTTTCAGCAGGTGGCTGGTCCACTGTCCCTCAGACCTTGTGGGGGGCCGGACTATATTTTGAAAAAAAATAATGAACGAATTCCTATGCCCCACAAATAACCCAGAGATGCATTTTAAATAAAAGCACACATTCTACTCATGTAAAAACACGCTGATTCCCGGACTGTCTGTGGGCCGTATTGAGAAGGCGATTGGGCCAGATCCGGCCCCGGGCCTTAGTTTGCCCACCCATGGCCCTAGAACAAGGGTGCAGGATTTGTGGCCCTCCAGATTTATTTTCTTTCACAGCTAAAGTTTGTGTTTGCTGTCTCTTTCAGATTACTTCTATTGTAGGCAATTCTACTTCCGTGTTCTGGCACCATTTCAGGCACACGTGTCAACATGTTCCACAGATAATGGGTGAAAAGTAGTTGCACTCTGCTGCTACCGAGTAAGCCATTGGGTTTGGGCTCAATTCTTTAAAAATTATTGCATAATTATAACGCAAGCATACAACATAGCTATTTGTGACAAACGGTTGTACTCTGTGAATTCCAGGTCTGCCTATGAACGGTAAGGATTGGTTTATAAGGACTACAAAAGAACAGGCTCCCGGATGCATTACTATCTGGGGGTTTTTATTTAAAACATTGCTGATTTTCCAAAAAATCCTTAACTAACAATATTTTCCTTTCAGTCTCATCCACAGATAAAGGATGTGTTACCAATAATATATTTGTATTGAAGTGCTTTGATACATATTGAGTTATCTACTAATGCCCTGAAGGCAAGCCTGAACGGAACAGCTTCAATAAAAACTCATTTGTACAGGGCTCAGGAAAAGAGTGAAGCAGGGTAAAGGTGGCGATTTTTAAATTCCAGCAGTCACTCAGGTTTTCAGAGGCAAGCTCTGGAAAGGAATAATGTTTGCAGAAGGCTGTGCCCGGCAGTTATGCTCTGTCTCTTAAGAAGAGCACCTTCATCTGAGAAAAGCCAAAAACTGCTGCAGAACTACAGACTTTGCACCTTTGCTCCTTCCAAAGTTCCACACTATCATCACTCCACCACAGCTCCCGACAGTGTATACACACGTACACACTCCTATAACAACAAAACCGAATCTGTTGCCACCTCCTCGTTTTCTTCAGAACAAAAAGAAAAGGCTGAGACTTAGTTCAAGTAGAATCTGGGAGTGTCTCCTCTTATGACCAGAGGCCTGAGCAAATGTCCACCTGTGGAGGATATGACTAAACACTATGCTAATCCTGCCATTTAATTAATATACCCAAGTCAAGGGTCTAGTTACTCAAAATCTGAGGTAGGCTTCCTACAATTGTTTCAGAAAGCAGGGATGGGGAACTGGACCGGCCAGTGGACTGGACCCTGTGGGCCATTTTGACAGGAGGGCGGCACACCTACCAATCCCCAGACATCACCTGACATTATTTGGCCCGTGCAGTTTAAAACCATAGGGCAACTGGTCACGGCTTGGGGAAAGCAGCCTCATGGGCTGTCCTAACAGCCTTAGGACTTCTGCTGGAGCTGTAAGGCCCACAGGCTGGAGGTTCCTCACCAATGGCTCAAAGAAGAAAGAATAACTCTGAGACAGGACACCCTATGCTGAACCTGTATCTTTGAATTTCCTCATGTGTTCCAACCCATCTCATTCTTCTCTGTTTGGGACAACTATACATCTATCTCTATTAGGGGGAAAAACTAAAAGGGAGGAAATCCATGGCTGATCTCTGGACTTTTTGAAAAACTTAAAAGTTGCTGGAGA